ACGGGCTGAAACAAGCTCCTCGTACCTGGTTTGAGCGTTTCTTCGCCGTCATCACAAGGATCGGGTTCTCCGCTAGTGTTCATGATCCTGCTCTGTTTATTCACACTTCTCGCGGTCGCACCCTTTTACTACTCTATGTTGATGACATGATTATTACAGGGGCTGACCAGCAATTCATTGATTTTGTGAAGAAACGTCTACATGAGCAATTCTTGATGGCTGATTTGGGTTCTCTTCGCTACTTTCTTGGACTTGAGATCATTTCTTCCCTTGAGGGTATTTATGTCTCTCAAGAGAAGTACATCCAAGATCTTCTCACTCGTGCCTGCCTCACTGATCAGCGCACGGTTGACACTCCTATGGAGTTTGGTCTACGTCTTCGTCCTGGTGAGGGTGAACCCCTTGCAGATCCCACACGCTACCGCCATCTTGTTGGGAGCCTTGTCTATCTAGGCATCACTCGTCCTGACATTTCTTATGTTGTGCACATTCTGAGTCAGTTTGTCTCTGCTCCCACTCAACTTCACTACAGTCACCTTCTTCGTGTTCTTTGTTACCTTCGTGGTACTGTGACTCGTCGCTTATCTTCCCTCGCTCCAGCTCTCTTCAGCTTCAGGCCTACTGTGATGCTACCTGGGCCAGCGATCCCACTGATCGCTGCTCTCTCTCTCTCTGCCTATTGTGTTTTTCTTGGCTCATCCCTGATTGCCTGGAAGACCAAGAAGCAGACTGTTGTATCTCGCTCCAGTGCTGAGGCTGAGCTGCAAGCTATGGTGTCCATGACTGCATAAATTACTTGGCTACGGTGGCTTCTTCAGGATTTTGGTGTTTCCACTGCTGCACCGACCCCTCTGCTCTCCGATAGCACTGGGGCACTCAGCATTGCCCGTGATCCTGTTAAGCATGAGCTCACCAAGCACATCGGTGTTGATGCCTCCTACACGCGTTCTCAGGTGCAAGACAGAATTGTGGGCCCCTCAATATGTGCCCTCGGAGCTTCAGCTTGCTGATTTTCTGACGAAAGCTCAAACACGGTCCCGACACAGCTTTTTCCTGTCCAAACTCAGTGTCCAAGATCCCCCCTGAGTTTGAGGGGGGGGGGGTGTTAGAATAGGGTCGTGTTGTGTGTAGTTATCATATTGTATAGGGGCTTCTTCGCTTATTTCCCTTCATGTATATGTGATGGCCTGTTGGCCTGATGGAATACATGCTCACTTCATAACAGATTCTTCATCCGACAGGAGAGAGAGTCCCCAACCGCCGCCGGCGGCGAGCCGGTGGGTTTCCCCTCCCTCCGCCTGCCGTTTCGGCTGCGGGAGGAGCAGGGTACCCCGATTCCCCGTTTCTCGCTGGTAGTAGGTTAGGGTTAGATTTTTCTGGAAGTGGTGTTGTGATGGAGGCAGCGTCATTCTCTCGAATAATTTGTCCCATGCCCCAACCCCATCGCGGTGGTCCTTCCCCTTGAGGCGACAAGGAGTGTGGGCTTCATCTTTCTCGTCGGATGGTTCGTCCATTGAGGCTTTTGTTTTCAGGCTTGGTAGACGAGGCGGCGGCATCGACCAAGCTATGGATGTGTGTCCTCCGGCTTCCTCCCTGTTGCGGCGGCGTGTGCTCCGACGCCGTTGTGAGGCCTATAGGGTCGTCATGTTTAGGAGTCAGACGGCGTCCTTCGTCTTTCACGGCGGCGGCAATTTGCAGAGTTTGGATGTTGTTCCAGCGCTTGCTTGATGGTTGCAGGATGGCGGTTCTGCTTTTCTTCATGGACAACATTGATTGAAGACTATGGATCTGTGGCTCGAGTTGCGCGGGGTTGGGCCCCAGCCGACACGCCACAACGATATGTGCTTCGTCGTCCATGATGAGGGATGCTTTTTTCGGCTCACAAAGCTTCGTAGCGATGGTGCGACAACAGCTCTTTGGCATGTGGGTCCTGTCTCCTCAACCGCCGGCGACGACGGTGGGTGGTGGCAGGCGAAGGTTCCGTGCAGCGATTAACACCCTCATGGATGTGTGTTTAATGTTCATTTTTGTGGGGGTGTTTTTGGCTGTTGTGCTCAAACGTTTGAGCCCTCTGGTGTTTTTCCGGCGTGTGCTACGTTTGTTGTAAACTGTTATATTGAATAAATAAATGTAGTAGCATTTCAATCTCTCTAAGCCAATCTCTTGCATGCACAGTCTCTCCCCGCTCTCTAGGTCTCTTTCGAATCTCTCACATCTCTCTGGGCCGATGTCTAGCATACACAATCTCCCTCGTGTCAACTCATACCATTCTGACTCACACAAATATCATCTTTCTTCAGGTCGATGTCTCTCTCACATACACGCGCATTATAGAGTACATATACAAAGAGAAGACGCGCACACACGCACTCATTCTCTCACACACTCGCAGGTAAGTGGTGGAGCGCATTAGCATACAAAGAGGCAGCCCACATGATTGACCCGCGGTTGTCCATTGCCAGGAAGCACACGTGAACAATGCAAAGTGCAATCTAGAAACGGTCCTAGACACTTCTAAATAAAAATAGTTGTGTGATTTGATAAAAAAAATTGACAATACGGTTGCAGATTAACTATTTTTGCCGCCCTTTTAACGTCATTTGAAAAACATAAAAGTATAAAACCAACACCAAGACTGAGTGTCAATGTTAACTTTCCAGGATAGAACAGCGACAGACCCCACATATTAGCCTACCTCAGTGAAACATTAGCCAAACAGCAACTGATACATCAAATACACCCCGCATATTCGATGCTTCTACAACCTTTAGGCCTACAAGGATCAGCACGAGTTGGACTAAAACATCCACGATTGACCTCAGTAGCTCTGGGACGCCGCTCTCAGTTCATTTTCCTTCTACATTTCTTACTTTGAAATCAGGACTAGCTAGTTGGTTTGGATGGCTGAATTTTGGGTCGACCTGTGACCACAGGATACAAAACCTCAATCCCTCGCATGTCATAACGACCTGCACCAGTCATGCTTCAACTACTCAAGAAAATAAATAAAGGATCTCCCAGGACTTCAGGAAGCCACCAGCAGCAGAATTAAGTTCGGTTCGTGATTCGCAAAAGAAGAATTTGGGTAGTGACGGGTTCGTCCATTTCGCCAGGTCCTGCTCTTGAGTGGCGCGTCAGACATCAGTGAGCCTTGCCAGCGATGACAATCTACCACGGTCTGAAAAGATAGCATGCACAGATATCAAAACCAACACCTAAACTTAGCATTTTACAGTCTGATTACATAAATACAACACGTGCCAGAAAAATAAAAGAATGATTCTAAGAAAAATCTGGAAGAAAGTAGCGACGTAATAATATCATATTTATCAACAGCTTTCCTTGCATGTTTAATACTGCCCCCATCCCACAATGTAAGACGTTTTTGCAAGCTTAGCTTGCAATTGCAGAAACGTCTTACATTGTGAGATGGAACAAATGTAGTCCATGACAAGTTTCAAATTTCAGATATTCAAATTAAGCCGGTTTCCCAGGCCACACATTCAGTTTGCACTAGTGCACACAAATGGGCTAGCAACATCGACATGTCAACGAGTATTGATTACACAGCATGACTTTGTTCCCAAACAAAACCAACAAGCTAAGCAAACACACAGGCGCGGTAAAGAAAACGCTGGCTAACGGATAAGCACAAGGTTGTTTAAATATTTAGGAATAACCTAGCAGCCCCTTCGCTCTTCATCAAATACATAAAGTTCGGAAAAATTCTAGTCATTGGTTTCTTTCTCTTGGTGTGGCCTGTTATGAGAGGCTTAAACTAGTGTTTTCCTGTTTCCTATTTACTTTCCATTCCCATCCTCTACCATTCTTTTTTCAGCTTTCCTTGTATGGACATTTTATTCCTTCTTTAATACAATGATGTGTGGCCCTCCTGGGCATTCAAGACGAAAAGAAAAACGCTGCTAGTCCATCAACGGCCCTAGAGATAAGTAGATATTTAAGGGTTAATGATGCAATTACCCCTGCTTCCCATGGACCGCTCCATAGAATAGCACAAGAATAACATGACTTGAGTCCATATCTCACAAATGACCACACAAATTTTTTGCTCTATGACAGGCTGACAGCATAACCTTAACAATGTAAAATATCTGATTTCCACCTATTAGATGAGGTTTTCAATCTACTTACAAATGGTAAACATTTTACTGTGATATCAAATTGTGACTCGGATTTGTATCTCCAATTGTTTGTCCAAAAAAGCTGACAGTGACGCTGCTACTTGACATCCCATCTGAAGACAAGACCAACACAGAACCTGATATACAAATTTCATGAAAGGGAAATGGCAGACAGATAGACTACACATGATTCTAGTTCCAAGTAACTCAGTTGAGCATTAGCTAAAAAGTAACAGAAATATGGCTGACATACTAAACAGAAGTACAACTTCTAAATATTATGATCAGGGTGAAATTGATCGTAATGACCTGGACCATCTGTATGTAAACTCCTAAAAGGAAAAATAAACAACTTGGTAGTGGCAAATCTAAAAGAAAACAGCAGCAGCAGCAGACTAAGAGATCAAGTAATATTTGCTGCCGGTAGCAATGCCATGATCTGAAAAGATACCATGCAGAAAACTCATAACTAAGTCTTACTTAGCGTTCCACTTTGGTAAGCTATGTGCTAGTGCCTAGTGGTAATATCAGAGGTTACAAGACTGAGCTTAAGATGTAAGCTTTAGCTATGCCAAAAGTAGAATGTTTTTCCAACAAAGTCTGAAGCAAGATAAGATAACAGGAACATACTAGATTGACAAGGCTATATGCATATTTGGCAATTCAACCAATGCGTGTCATCATGGTCCTTAACAGGTAAATCTTAATAACAAAATCATGTTCTGTTTTCCAATGTCACATGTTACATATTTTCTAGCAGACACAAATTTGAATTTGGCAAAATCTATACAGGAATACAAACTAACAAACAAAGAACATTACTTGCAATATGACTGACTGTTCACAACCAAGAACCGACTATGTAAGCAAACATATGGAATCTGTAAAATGAAGAGCAACAGGATCAACAGCTGGTACCATACCAGGAGTGTAGAAGCTCATGTAGGGTAAAACGGAAAAGTAGACCCCAAATTCATCAACTTTCTTCACCAGCCCGGACTTGAGCTCGAGCGTGAATAAGCCAGCATCTGTTCTGACGAAGATGACACCGACACCCTCTGCGAAACCAACCACATATGCTCCATGACCTTCGCGGGGATTGGCCATGGGCATGGCTTTCTCCAGGTCAATGACCATGCATTGTACCCATTTTGCAGCTCCCTTCACCGTCCTTGACCAGATATGCAGACTGGAAGTGGAATCCTCAACACCAGCGAGCCCCAGCGAATTGTCCTCCATGACCATGAGGGAGACGAAACCGCCGTACACTTCTGTATCTGGTGGTGGCGGGTCAATCACAGACAGGCGATTCTCGCCCCAATCATACTTGGCGATGGCAGCGGACCGCGAAATCGTGAAGTAAACTGCATCACCAATGGCGGCCACTCGCCTGGGCTGGACATAGGGTATGTAGGAGGAGAAGAACATCATTTCTGCAGTTGCGTCTCGCTTGTGCCGGGCATAGCATTAACAGCTATCGTCAAGAGACACCGGCGGACTCCACGCACCTGTCGCCGACGAGTACACGGTTGCCTTGACGACCTCTTCGCGGTCGTCGGTGGCCAGGAAGACCACGCGGAAGGGGCCGCCGTGGCAGTCGAGGTGGTCGCAGCCGGCGGCGGCGCAGAGCACGGCGGCGGTGTAGACCATCCAGTCGACGTCCGGATCGGGCACCACGCGGCGGTCTCCGGTGACGGGGTCCCAGACGAGGAGATCCACATCCGAATCGTGGGACATGTGGAGGAGGACGCGGCCGTGGCGGCAGTCGAGGGGGCGCGCGGGGCAGCGGTCGGAGGCCGGGTGGGGGAAGTCGGGCAGCGAGGTGGTGGAGGCGAAGCGAGGGGCCGGGTCCCCGTCGCAGACCTGGTTCCGGTAGAGGAGGCCGAGCAGCGGAGGGGCGCCATGGAACGCGCGGTACTGGCTGCGGAAGGCGGGGAGGCAGATGAGGCGGAGCCAGGGCTTGCAGACGAGCGCGGCGCGGAAGAGGTGCTCCGGCTCGCCCGGCGGGAGGCGGAGGAGGATCTCCGCGAGGACGTCGTCGTCGATCAGGTTCATCCGCGGCGGCGCCATGGCCGTGGCGTGGGGTGGGGTTTGGGTGGAATGGGGAGAGGAGTGAGGGGTTCGGCGAGACACCCACACACGGCCTCTGCTACTTGGTTGGGCTCGACTATAGCTGGACCTATGGGCTGAATCTCACGGGCCAATTTGTTAGCCCATGACGTGCCTGGCCGGACACACGGCTAAACGGGCCGTGCCTGGCCCATGGCACGCATGGGACCGTGCTCAGGCGCAGGCTCGCGTGCCGGCACGACACGGACAGCTTATTTTTTTTTAGATTTCTTCTGAATTTTTATGATATATAGCAGACATGCCAGTTGTAATGGGAGAAGTAAATGCATCAATCTTAATAAAAATTGTTCAAGACCCCACACAGGTACACGCCCGCCATTTCAACTCGCGGAGAAGCACTAATAGCAAAAACCGTGAATATGAAATATTACTAAAGCTTAATTTTCCAATTCAAGTTAGTGACAAATTAGTTACAAAGACATGCATTGTTTTGTACGTAGATTGATAGCTATGGAGTATCTACTGCTAGTGTGGATTTTCTAGCTTGTAATTGTACCCTTCGTGCATAGGATAAGAGATTTTTACGATGCAAAATCTCATTTCATGACATTTATAACAAAACTTTATAACCTTATCCTGCTGCAACAATTTTAAATTGGTGAAATATAAGAGGCTAATAATCCTTTTAGGTGACCCTGTATTCATTTCTTCTTAGGAATATTCAAAATCTCATTGCTAGTTTATTTAATTTTTTGAAATGAAGTCTTATTTTTTTACATGATCTTCCTTGGTCATTGCACCCGAAATATGACTGTGTTTGTGGCAAAAAGAAAACAAAAACTCAAATCATTCAAGTAATAGTGATAGATGGAAGTTGCTGAATGATTTCCCGGAACTGAATTTCTGATGCTTTTTCGGCAAACCGAGGCTAGTAATGATTCGTTTCTGTTGTGATGTGCTAGTACTAATCGGTGCTATGCGATTGAGCTTTTTAGTACAATGATAAGATTGATGATCCACTGACACTAGGGTACAAGAGCCCTGATTAATTGCTTGATGTGATTGAGCACCCTGAGCATTGATGCCGTGGTGATCATAAACATGGTTGCCAGTGCTTTGTTGGCTCGTCTGTGGTGACTGAATTTGTGCTGCTTCTGTCAAACTGAAATTTCGAAAGCAACGATACATTTCTGCTACTAAGCTTACTGATTTTCTGCTGTGATTATTTGATAGATACTATGTAGTACTCTGCAAAATGAGTGTGCTTATGCAGATTCATGATCCGCCGACAGTAGATAGGTCAGAACATAATGTTGTCCATTAATTTCTCCTTGCTACGTCTTGCACTTGTTCAGAGTAATAGTTAGCGTTGCTTATTCTGTAGTAGCAACTATTGTTAGGCTGGATCAGTTTAGTGCTATACAAATGGTGTTACTCTGAAAATGTCCAGTGTATGCCAATTGTACTTGCTGTCCATCTCTCCATTCTCTTGCCGGAAGTCATTTCTTACATGGTCTTCTGGTTGTATCTTCTGACCTGCCGGTATCATGAACTAGTAAAATAGAATGTGGATTATCTACAGTAAATTGAAGGATTGATAACTTTTGTGAGCCGACACAATAGTGTATGCACCCCTATATAGTGTGCGGGTAACTTTGAATATTGGTCGTCGGGGGTGAGAAACGGACCCTGCGTCCTCCCTTCTAGGCGACCCGGGGCTGATGATCCACCGACAGTAGGTTATGCTTCAGCGTTAGGTGCAGAATAGAGTACATTGTTGAACGGCCCTGTTTCATGGCCTGTTGTCACTAAGCATTGCCGCTGCGATGACCATTAACATGGTTGTCGACGCTTTGTTGGCTCGTAGTTGGTGACTGAATTTGTGCTGCTTTCGGCAAGCTGAGATTTCGAAAAGCTGTGATACGTTCCTGCTACTGTACTATGTGTTATTGATTTTCTGCTGTGGTTTGATGGTTACTAGATGTTCTCCTGATCCCTGCAAAATGATTGTGCTGTTGTAGTGACGTAATTTTTGCAGATTCATGATCTACTGACAGCAGGTTGGTGCAAAACAGAGTAGCTGTGCTCATTAAGGTTGCATGGAAGAATAAGAGTAACCCAGTTGGTTTCGTTGCTATTACGGTTCTCGTCCAGACTTGTAGTTAGCGTTGCTTGTTCAGTAGTGCTAGCAAATTAACACCAGTCAATTTGGTTAGGCTGAGGCAGTTTGGTGTTATACATAATAGTACTGTTACTCTGAAAATGTTTATTTAGTACTGTAGAGAAGTACTATGTGACAATTAGACTTTCCATACGTCCATATCTTGTCGGAGGTCGTTCCTTACCCAAGATGAGGTTGAGACATGCCATTTCATTGTCTCGCTGGTTACTCAAGTGAAGTTACATAGTATCTTCTATTCAGATTTGGTGACTCGGTAAATTCTTTTCGTAAACGTAGCATTACTCGGGTGATGCTAGTGTGCAGTACGAGAGGCAGTGCAGGGCAAAATTACAAACATAATCTCTCATTTTCCAGATTAAAGCACAGACATAATCTGCAAAACGACATGAGCAAACTCAAATTCAGTCACGAAGGAGAGCCGCACCGGGGAGGGTCTGGATGCCACGGTCACCCCTGCGCCGGCCAGCAGCAGCCAACCAATGGGAATGCAGTAACCCCCACGCCACGGATCACTCCCCCACGATCCGCGTGACACCAAATCCTCACCGTCCACTCCCCGCGGATCCAACGCTCCAAGCCCACCTCCCACCCGAAACACCAGAGCGCCGAAAACGCTCGCCCGCGCCCACCCGCCGCCCACGCCTCTCCTCGTTAAAACGCTCCCCGAATCGGCTCCATTCTGCATCCACTCCAATCCCCAATCCCCAATCTCCCAACCAATCCACCAAGCAAACCCTAGCCCAGCCCCGATGGCCCGCACGAAGCAGACGGCGAGGAAGTCCACCGGCGGCAAGGCCCCGCGGAAGCAGCTGGCCACCAAGGCGGCGCGCAAGTCGGCGCCGGCCACCGGCGGCGTCAAGAAGCCGCACCGCTTCCGCCCGGGCACCGTGGCGCTCCGGGAGATCCGCAAGTACCAGAAGAGCACGGAGCTGCTCATCCGCAAGCTGCCCTTCCAGCGCCTCGTCAGGGAGATCGCGCAGGACTTCAAGACCGACCTGAGGTTCCAGTCCTCCGCCGTGTCGGCGCTGCAGGAGGCCGCCGAGGCCTACCTCGTGGGCCTCTTCGAGGACACCAACCTCTGCGCCATCCACGCCAAGCGCGTCACCATCATGCCCAAGGACATCCAGCTCGCAAGGCGCATCAGGGGCGAGAGGGCCTAAGATGTGTCCGTCTCGTCTTATCTGCAGGTGTAGGGAGTAGCATATGTTGCGTGGTGGAGTAATCTGGTATTGTGGTAGTAAGATTCTAACTGAATGTAGTGTTTGATGTTACCATCTTGCTGTCATCAGCAATATGAATGAAAGTTGGCTATCAGATCTCTCTCCATTTTGTGTTTCTTGTGACACATTTTGTGGTTTGTAATCCTGAAATGTCAACGAATGGTTTCATTGCTGAATCTAAGGTGTTTGTCAAAGTTTCTTGTAATGCTAATGTCACATTCCAGTATCTTTGTTTGTCTTCTGAACTTCCTGAAATTCGTTGCAGTGCTACCGCCTACTGAACTTCACTGGCTTCTCAACAGAGTCACTCCTACAGGATGTCTTGGGCGTCATTCTGTACCATTGCATTTGCTGCCTTTTATCAGTGTTCATTATTCATTGGTGGCTTCAGCTAACGGTTCTGAGCTGTTTCTTTCAATTGTTATCACTTGCTTGTTGCATCTCTACCGAGATTGATTATCGTTCTACTTGCAGACTGTATACTAGGAGTGGTATTTAGCAAAGCTATGAGTCGCCTGGGAACTTGGCAAGCAAGGCCTGCTAATTTGTATGCTTATATAGCTATGTCATCCAGTCTTTGGAAGATCCCATTTTCCTCTCCTGAATTAACAAGTAAAAGTAAGATTATAACATATTTTGCCTGAATATAAACTGTAGTGTGATTGACAAATTTCATCAGTTCTCCAGTTTGTGCTCTTGTTGTTTGTAAACCTCGAAAATCAACGAATGGTTTCTTTGCTTCATCCATGGTGTTGCTCAATATTGCCTCAAGTTTAAGCCGAAAATCCCAACCAAAAATTCAGTGTGTTCCATCTAATGCCATGCTTCAGTTGCTGCCCTGTCATGCTAATGTCACAATTAGAATTAGTATAATTTGGAGTTTAGTGGACTGATATTTTTGTTTGACAACTACTGCAACGGAAGTCTCTGAAATTCATGCAGTACTGTATACTGAACGT